TATCAGTTTTACCATGGAGACGGAAGTGAGCCATCAAACCTTTCCGGAAGTATTACTGGACAGAATAACCGATAACTCCACTGAGAGGTGTGTGTATTTCAAGCAAACCTGGAGGAAACAGTATTCAGACATTTGCAAATGTGTCTCTCTACAACAACATGTAAAAATAAAAAAATGTAAACCTGTTTGCTATGCGGTTTTGAGGGCTAGACAAATAGGTTCTGATGGCACACTGGAAAGCGAACTGAATGCTATCAGAAAACTCCAACAGAAGACATCCAATCTCATCAGCTTATATCACGTAATGTGCAGAATAGAATGGAAGCAAAAGTAAGGAAAACATTCGAATTCAAACAAGTTTTTCTAATACTCGCTTTCAAAGGCTACCTGGTAACCGAAGCTTTAGCCAGAGGTCTTCCCATACGGGTTAGATACAGGTTTAGCACGTCTTAACTTCGATGCTCCTACTCAAATTCTATTTTACGCAAAGACACTGTCAGTGCTGACCGATTCGACGGTTGTTGATGAAATCAGTCACAGATGTGATGCACTTACGTACCCGGCACTTGTCAAAGTGGACTAGAGAATAGTNAATAGTTCTGAGATAGGCTCACCCTGGATTTCAGAGGCAAAGGTCAGGGTTCTATTTTAATTCACCCAGTTGAGACGGAACACGTTAATCGGGAGACTACAATTCGGATCGTTTGCTGTGACAACGGAACCGGTCCAAAGTAGTCAGATAACGTAACCACGCCACCAACAAGACTGTTGTCACCCGACCAACCACACCTGAACTTTATGCACAAAAGCTTCGTCCAATCCCTCCAGCTGAACCTGCCCAGTGATGAAGGCACACACCTGGCCATATGTCCCATATTATCCCGACAATTAGCCGTGTATTAGATGGCTTTTGCAGATTTCCCCACTCCCGCGTTTGCCATATTGTAGTTGCGCTTGACTCTGTATATGATCTCTACCAGCCAGAAAATAGATCAATAAAACACGTGTTGCACTGGCGTTCCCAATGTAGATATAGGAACCCTTCAACAACCTAAGTGTAACCTAAACTAAATCTGACCAGCTTTGACTAGAGATTGAGCGTTTTCTTCCGCACAGCTAATCCATGTGTCAAACATCCTACCACTAGGGTAGTACTGAGGTTATTCCAGACCACAACCAGTATTTTAAGACCGGTATCGTGTAAACCCTACAGCTGGGATAGAAAACACTATGTTCTGAAATTACGTTCTGGAAAATACCGAATTTATACCAAGTTCCATCTTTATTCGTTTCAATCTGGGGCGCAGTAATACACGGAAAAAGAACAATATTAGCACGACTAAATGCATTCTTTACTGACCACGGGCATTTAAGCACTCAGCCTAAAGATGTCATTCAGAAACCACAACCGCTGTGGGCCTTGTGACAATCTTCCATACGGCCGACCAGATCCGAAATTCAGTTCTGTAGGCTTCTGAGACGATAGCAGAGACGATAACTGCGTTGAATCCAATAGTCTCACACGTAGCATCCTACAGCATCCAGTCAGGTTTTACAGCACCTTAAGTCCCTATAACTTCTGTCTAAAATTCAGTTGATAAAACTGCCATCAATCGGCACTTCAGGATGTGACTGTTGCGTAAAATATCCTTGGTGGCCATGTTCGGATCAACCAACATATAGAAGAGCTATGGTTCGAGCACACTTTCAGCAAGCCCATGTGAGCGGTGCCGTCATCGTCCTTTAGTGAACGAGCGAATATGGTTATATTGCGCGGAGTCCAAGGCGCAAGAGTATGTGATCACTTTTGGCCCCAACTCACATTGAGTTATCTTTAGAGGAGTTAAGCATGCCAAAGCGAACGATAACAAAACAAAGTGTCAGCCCGTACCTAATGATTCTGTGGATTCCAAATGCAAAGTCCCATGATGTAACCAGTTTATTGCTAAAGTGCTTTGCGGAAGTTATCACCGCTGGTCGTATTGCGTCAGTGATTTTTGTCCTCGTTCTGATGTTAACACTGCAATAAACTTGCTTTAGAAAATGACCGCAAGGACTATCTGAAGTAGGGTAAATTCATGTGCTTTTTGATGACTCCGACTTTCTTTTAATTAAACTACTTCTTCACACCGGATGTGCAATTCGAGCGCGGTGTCCTCCGAGAGGTGGTTGGATGACAGCGCAGCCAATTTTGCATACAAAAAGATTCGCTGCACGTTTCGTGCTAACGGTCATTTGTGTTATTCGCTATGTTGGATTGAAAAACAGCTTGTAGGTCATGTGGTATTTGCGACTCTTGAAGTCCACTCGTTTCTTTAGCGTAACAGGCCCCGCCAAGTTCCCGCAAACACTGACTTCCTCGTGTTTACCACACACCCCTGTCAATGGCTACTACCGCGATTTGTGCGTCACTGATTTCGGAAACAATGGTCGCCTGTACATCTACCGGTACGGGACGATACAAAAGAAAAAAACATATCTTAAGGACTTATGACAGTAGGCCAAACATTCTATTAATGTGGTCTTTCTTAACCCGTAAGTTTTGTCAACAACTAGCCTCTAGGCACAATGATGTAGCCTCCAAACCATCTTCATCATGAGACGTGAACCAGGGGTTGAAGTTGTAAGTTGAAATAGCACATATGTACATTGTGCACCGGATGCCCCGTCTTTACTGTTGGGCGCGGGAATCTTTGGGTTTACCAATTACCGTACAGTATCTCCGAAATTCCACTTTACACTGAATGAACCGAAAACGTATGTTAGGCGTACCCGGCCTTTACTGTGTCACTGATGGTGATCTAGGGAGAAGATGCACATGGGACGAAACTAATCAGGTCTTAAGCGATAAAGTTTCTACCTTTAGAGTTCAAAATACACCTTCATGTTGGTGAAAATGCAGAGGACATGGTGAAATTATGTATATCGTCAAAGAACAAATATTCCTTATTTAAAGCCCTTACTTCAAAGTACAGAGAAGCATGTGACTGACGAGCTATTAGCAGGTACGTGTCCGCCAAACTAGACGAATGCGGTACCGATTTCTGGATGTTGATGGATGATGACACGAATTAGTGTCTCTATATATCTTGGGTCCTTTGAAAAAAATTAACGGTAGAGCATTGGCTAAAGAGGTGATATGTCGAATATTCGAAGGCTTATTTGATAGAGGCTCTCATATCAGCATATATCACGTTTCCACGAATCCTAGTGTTTCTGACACATGAGATTTGAGACCATTTACTGTTTTGACTCTTCTGTGTTGGTCTTTCAAAGGGAGCGGCCACGAGGGCATGTGGTATCCTTAACTGTAAATTATGTAGTCCGTCTTTTGCGAAGAGAAGTATTGTGGACCTTGTTTCACGAAAAGTTCAACCGGAGTGACGTTTTTGTCCAAATTGTAGGTTTGTATTAATGATACTAGTAATATTAGTAAAACAGTTCGTATTTTCCAAAACCAGAGGGGGGGGGGGCTTATTCGTCCGGGAGCAGTTCAGGCAACCCACAATGGGAAGCACTAATTACCATCCTCAATGAGGTCCACCAAAGTGTCCGTATTTCGTGGCATTCGGGCATGCCTATTTCTTTCTGGTTCGGTTCCGCAGAAATATTACAATCACTGCCTATTGAGTGTTCAATGTTGATCCGTGTGCGGAATCTGAATGAATGTGTTTATGGGGGTTGGGCTGCGTTAGCTCAAAACAGGCCTTGCGTGTTTGTCAGATTTTGAAAAGAAATTCAAATTCTCTACAAGACGATCTACAACACAGGGTACTACTTTCTGCGGACATGCAGGCCGATCTGATCCTGAGTCAACTTTAAACAGATGTTTGTAAAATCGACCAATCGCCAGTACATTGATTTGGAAAATGTCACAGGGGCCTACTACGGACTTGCATGATATAACGACGGGAGCGTGTTCACTTAGTACAACATGAAGGATCGATCAAGGTCAAACCTGGTGGACGTGTTAAGCGTGGCCTGATACAGATCCATAGAAGCAGAAAACAGCTGCACGTTATAACCGACAGTCATGATGCGCAGAATCTCATTCACATCCAATTTTTCAACGGGTCCACAGCTGAACTAAACTGTTACTAATGATAGTTCTCATGCGAAGGATCGATCAGGGTCAAACCTGGTGGACTAAACTGTTACTAATGATAGTTCTCATGATCCTCCACAGTAAAATCTTGCCTATCGATGGTGTACCTGAAGTTAGACTAAATTCTATAACCGCAAACTTTTGGGTATCGGAGTAGGTGATGACAAACTGTCCCTCTTCCTCAAACATGGTCTTATTCGAGTTTCCAAATTTCCAACCCATGAGAGAATTGGTTAACGTAGGACTTAGTTCATGGTTCACGTGGCGAAAAACGTCCAACGTAATCATTAGACTTTTAGAAGATACTCGGAATGGCAACTGAAGCGAGTATCAACCCACAGAAAATTGCTGAAAAAAGTTCAAGATTCCGGCCCTTTTCATTTCAAATGACTTTTTTGCAGACAGCATGATATAATTATGTACATTTTCCGAAAACTTCACGGTACACAGTATTTAGCACCATAACGGCGTAAACAAGGTCTATCATTCTGCCAGTAGCCTGATGAAAAAAAGAGCGGTCAGTGTGAACGGAAACATATTTTGCCTTTCCAAAAATAAATGAAAGCAAGTAAAACAAAAGACGTTAGCAGAGTACTGAGATCAGTTAACTGGATGTTTGCATGCATTTATACCTAGCTAACATCAATAGAAGGAACGCCAGTTCTAGAGACTGTAATGTTGCGTGTTAAAGAATGTACCACAAACCATGGCTTTCCTTTTTATATAAACTTGGCTGGAAAGGGAAGGAATCGCGAATTCTTCTGAACTTGTCGGACGAAATAATTCATTTGGAGAACTCACCTCAATGGCAGTAAGCCTGGCTTCACAATTTCCTGGCCTGAAGGATATAATAGAGTGGTTTTATCTAGTGTCTCAAAATATATCAGCGAAGTTATTTGCGAACTTGATGGGCCGTGTAGAGATAAACTGAACCCTCAGTATCAAGCACATTTCCAAAACGAGGGTCATATCGAATGTATTTGACATCCACCTCCCAGTCTTTTTCGTTGCTGTTTTGTTGACCAGTTAAGCGATTTCCTTGCGTTGGCCTGTTTGTAGTACCAGCATTCTCTGCTGCATGCTGTGCCTTTTTGGACAGCTTTGTGTACTTGCTTTCGGGGAGTTTTTCGGGCTCGCAATGTATGTGCACACTGTGTTTCGGTTGCTCTCGGTCCCGCAGGTAGAGCCTTGGCAGCCATTTCGGAGGACATTCACATCGCTTTATCTGAACAAGATAGTCACCGTTGGTTTCTTGTTTGTGATTCAAACGTGGGGTGTCCGTTGTTTGGGGGACCGATGAACAGACGTTTGAAGCAGGTGTTTCTATCTGGTTACTGAGGCCTGTAGGTGCTAAGTTATGCTGTGATGCACATTTACGCAATGCACTCGAGGGAGGTGAGAGTTCACTTGGCTGTGGAGTATTGGCGTTCCTCCAAACTGCTAACTGCGCCTCCATTACATGCATCACACGTTGCAAATCGCTCAGTGTTTTAGTTGTCATGACCACAAATTGCTTTTCAGCGAAATCATCATCCCGAATACCGACAGCAAAAAAAGGTCCAACATGAGGAAAGGCCATACAACGTTCGACTGCGCCAAAGTCCGTGCGTTCCACTACGCGATAGGGCCACCAGGAAGCACGACTAAGAATGAGTGACGTGTAGGTTATCAACAGTTTTGCCTTGACTGGCTTTTTAGGTTCCCGCCAAGGGCTGATAAGATGTTGCTCCAAGCGATACTGAAACACCGGGGTAGTGAACTGGTCCTTCGTGTGTAACTCCACATAATGAACTAGTCGGACGGATATTGTCAGAAGCTGATTCAAATTACTTAGGGAATTCGACCGTTTCACCATGTCACACTGAGGGGCCTGTTAACGCTATTTCGTTAAAGTCCGGTGCAGCTCAGGCAACCTGCGATGCACTCACAGTGCCATTCCGAATACTGATTTGCCATTGTGGCACTCACGACTGGCCAATCACCCAACAACAGAACGTGAGATCCGTCAACTCCATTGGTCGGCCGTTCAGCCGTGCTGTGTGAGCCAATGAAAGCACGGGTGATAAGTGCAGCTGGATGGCCGAGGTCAACTTCAACTGAGTGATCTGAATAGCAGTGCATCTCATGCGTGTTGTGGGCGCTCAGTATTCGCACAATTGAATTGAATTTTCGAAAGCTACGAGGTGTCCCTGATGGACTAAAACAGACAGGCAATTGAGTTCAGAATACCAGTTCAAACTTTTGAGCCCTATACAGGCATTTGGGGTTCCATGTTGCTGGGACAGTATTCCAACAGAATCTTTCCGCCAGGGGCATAACTGTTCCAGTGGACAATGAAAATTTGTTGAGCTGCAAAAATATGAACGTAGCTTAGGGTGGATTTTAGTTTCGGCAAATACGCAGAAAAATGCATTATTTTGGCGTAAAAAGTTTAATTCATTCGCAAAGACTATGCAGCTATGACCATCGTGCTGCTAAGGCGCCCCCGTGTTGTGCGTGGTTGGGTTGATCATAACATGTGAGGTATGTGAGGCATCGGTGAGGTCTTCTAATCACTGGATTGATGACTGCGTGTACATTATTATTCGTTACGCTCATGACTTTAACACTGGTTTTCACAACATCCAGCAAAATCCCGGAAAAAATGAAATCTCCTCATTTCGGAAGAAAAAAGAAAAGGCAATGAATATCAGGAGACCCTTTACGATGTTGTGAGGCTATGGCAGATCTTTAAAAAATCACGTTAGCCTGATTGTTCACCGGAAGCTTTATTTACAAGCAAGATCCATTCATTCTTCACCAAGTATTCCCGGTACCAATAGACCATTCAGTGGACGCTAACAGAGCACAAGGAACTTCATCTCATTATGGTTCCTATTCGGATAAGGTGGTTGAGAACATTCTATTCGTAATGCAAATACATACCACAGTGAGTCTGCTGTTGCCTCCTCTGAGTCACTATTTGTCGTAGCCCAGAAATTTAAGCCATTTTGTAAAAGAATTCGGAATCATATCCTGCGACAAGTGAGATAGATCATTTTGGTAAAACGTTGGCAAATGTTTGTCATGCCTGGTTCATGCGTGACTTTTGATCAACTTTAGATGGCCGTCTTTTCTCATGGTGTCAGACATAGGTGTGACCAGGTGGGATCACATTATATCTTCAGACATTGGTAAGTGAATCTGACGAGTAAATTCTGTAGCACGTCAGAGCGCTACAGAACATTTTGATTTAGCTATCGACATTTTTATTGCACGATCCGACACAAAATGTGTGTGCTAAGCGAGGGAAACCAAGTGATTTTCCGGTTAACTATGTGGGCCTTTGTTTGTATTTAATTACCAAAACTTACATATAGATTTTGAAACGTTTGGTTCTTGGAGTATTAAGGACGAAAGGCTACTCATAAGGTTCCTGAAAACTCTTCGGCAGCCCACTACCGGTTTCGCTCTTGCTGGGACTCAGCTCTTAGCTCCTTAGTTTTTGTCAACCTTATGTTTTAATTAAACCAAAACAGTACGCAACCAGCGTAATAGACTTATTTGAAATACCCAGTGTTGTTCAGAATTTTGTCGTTGGGAACAAATTTAAACGGGGATAATTTAATTACTTTAATGCCATATATACGCCATATATAGTTTGACAGTGTTCCCGAGGCACAAGAAGTCAGCGTAAAGTTTAATTTCGATGGGAGGCTTGAATGAACGCGGACTGAATTTCCAATAAATGACGGATTCAGTTGGGATTCAGGTGGTTCTGATCTGCCGTTACAGTCAGGTTTGTTTGCAAATAAGTGTATTTCGCAAAGTTTTATCACCGTTTTTTTGTTCGAAGACACCGGTGGTTACAGCAAGAAGCCGAATTACGTTTGTTACGTTTAAAATAATCAAGTTTCACAGCTTCGAAGCAGTGGTGGATGTAGCGCAGCAGTGTTGACTTTATCCTTCAAACACAGACTAGTTTCTTAGGGTAATCACCTTTCATAAAGGCTGTTTGGACGTTACGTATACTAAGGGTCACTCTATGTGAGATCTAACGTCACAGATCTACTCATCTGAGTAGATCTGGTAATAAACGTTATTGTTAAGGGTAACGCAGGAAATTTGGTGGTTTGTCCAGCATGCTAATTATCACTGGTGAGACCACTAATCGGTTCAGAATGATACGATCAAAGCATAGAAAGCAAATCAGCTTTAATGGCATTAACGAACAACGCAATACATGTTGACTGAAGTCCATGAAGTGTATATTAAAACTGTATATATTTTATTAGTGACGAAACACTCCATTCGTTGATCAGGACTCCAGAGATACTAGGTAAATGGGTTTAGATGAGCCTAACATGGTGGGCGTTGTGTGGGTCCATATTGGCAATGCAGTAGACAGGAATTTTTGACCACAGAAGTGCAAACGGTGAGCGCATAGGGTGAACGAAACTTGCCGCAGTGATGTTACTTTACTCTCTCTTCCTGGATGACAGGGCTTTGTGCTAAAACCGGAGTTCGATATGCGTTTTCTGCTATTTTTAGAAACTTACTTATCAGCTGTAGTACTCATCGTCACATTCAACGCTTCAATCTTTTTTTAGCTGTCAGTGGGCTTATTTGTGTCGTTGAAATTGTGAAAACCCATTGAAGCATACTAGAAATTGGACGACTAGTGAAGTCTATAAAATGTGTATTGTTAAATGTTTTGCATTTGCAGAGAGGTAGAGATGGGGTTTAACAAGTCTGCATCATGTTCTGGAGCCCAGACATTTGTGTAAACGAAACATTTTGGCGCACTGAAGCGTTCCTGAGACAGGCACACTCCTATTCTGTCATGTCGAAAGAAGAATGAGCGTGATATCATTACAAACGGACTACGCCTGAAGATTCTAGATAAAGATTCTAGAAGACTTCGGATTTGATGTTTAATTTAAAGCTCAAGAAATGAGCTGAAAATTTTCAAGAACAGAACAGGTAAAGACCTAATCAGTACCCTCATTTATTTAATAGCTACCCATCTCAGTTGTGCAATCCAACTACTCACATCAGCATAAAAACTTACGCCGGCTCGGGAACACTCAGTCTAACTATATATGATGTATATATGGCATTAAAGATAAGTAAATCAATATATATCGTCTCTACTGCATTTTATCCCCGTTTAAATTTGTTTCCAACGACAAACTTCTGAACACCACTGGGTATTTCGATGACTTCGAATTTTGTATTTGCGGCGAAAGTCCGAATGGAGTTGTTTCTCCGTGAACTGAATTCAGACCAATATGAAATTTCCCTCCTCTTATATACTCCAGGAATCTCTTCACAATTTTCCCGATTTTTAGGCCTAAGGAGCATTTTCGATCTCCACAGGACATATATTTTAGCTAAACTGACTCCACGACAGGCCATCTGGATACTCGAATTTTGATTTACCAGATGAAAGGATGACTGTTGGGTTTAGATCTGTTGTGTTTATCTATTCGGTTACTACTTGACTACCACCTGACTCCATCCAGCTGTTCAGCAAAAATCTTGAGATGGCCTGAAGGCTCAATTATCTTTGTCCATCTGCCGATGCGAGGAACATCAGAGGAAGAAATCGGGACGAGAACTGACCCATATTGATCCAGGTACCCAAAATCAGTCTCCTTTTTTATTTTGTTCAATTCGTCAACTTCTCCGGACCATAAGGATTCCAAACAGACTTTCACGGGACATATTCAGGTGGGATACGGCGTGGTAGTTCTCAAAAGGAAGAGGGCGGTCGTCAACGGGGTTTTGTGTTTTGGAGAGCCACTTGTTTGACTCTGGTCATTTTTTGACTAAAACTGTTTCTTCTGTAGTAGCTGAGATCTTATTTTGGGTCACCAGGCATTTTTTCTGGACGCAATGGTCTTCTTTGGTTTGGCTTGTCTTCATTAACCTGATGCTCATTCTTCCGCTTAGAGCAACGGAACAAAAACATTCCTGACCTCGAGATTGTGTACTGTACGAAAGCTCACGGTCTACGTAGACTTGGTAACTCAAAAGGGAAAATCCAGTCTCGGAAATCTGTGGGGGTCAACTTCACACCTACTGATACTGATAGCTGTATAAATCAGTGGACACTCTTTTGGTGATAATGTCTCATTTTGCAAGTGAGCTGAACGGTTTGGGTGCTACGGCAAATCGATCGTATTTATCCCGAGGAGCACTACATACAATCGGAAAATACGTAGTTGCTTCTTTTCACCTCTGAGAGATATGATGTCAAACATCAAAGCTCACCCGAGAACACATTGGTCTGTTGGTGTGACGGCTCACAAAAGAATTCTTTATGAACTCGCGATTTTCGCTGCACTTAACTATGGAAGGGTACCTGGAGAAGAGCTAAAATATGGGACTGCATGGTCCATTCATTATACCAACTGATGGGTGAATGGATGTTCAAAAAACAGTTCCACCAAAAAGCGACGACCCGAACGACTCTAAAAATCCGTCGCTCAGTGAAACTGGTGTAGATTATATCCATTTTGAAAGAGCTGTTTCTGCATTGCAACTTCGAGAACGTTGGTGCGGAACGTCGTTAGCGAAGGGGTTCCGAGTACCTCTCGAAGTGAAATGCTCACAGAAATACCCCATATTGGATGATTTATGCGCCCCTGTGTCTTACGTAGTAAGAATCTCCCCCTGTCTCTCTTTACCCCGTTGCCAGGGCCATCTCCGTGGTCCTATTCTTAGGGACTGACAGATCGGGCAGGTAGCCATTAGCGTCAGCTGAAATATCTACGGCCAACGACGTTTGAGTAAGTTGTCGTAATATCAAAGCAGGTGGCCACTTCTAAAGACAGCTTCTAGTCGATATGACCCATGATTCGGCCATGATAC